CGTGCCACCTGCAGACACCCGAGGCATCCGCACCTGCCTTTCAGAAGGGCCTTCATCCTCTCCAGGCGAAACCTGTTCTACTTGAACGCAGGAGCAGGGCAAACACGGTCCTTTTCTTCTTTCTCCTATGCTGCACTCAGGGCCTCCAGGGCCTCTAGCTTTTGCATAGACTTAAAAATAAATCTATTGCCCACCGGTGTGGCTCAGTGGTTGAGCATCAACCCATGCACCGAGAGGTCGCTGGTTTGATTCCCAGTCAGGGCACACGCCCAGGTTGTGGGCCCGATCCCCAGTGGGGGGCGTGCAGGAGGTGGCCAGTCAATGTTCTCTGTCATCAATGTTTCTCTCTCTCTCTCTCAAATCAATAAAGAAAAAAAAAAATCTATTGCTCGCCCAATGTGGCTCAGTGGATTGAGCATCCTTCCATGGACTGAGAGGTCCTGGTTCGATTCCCAGTCAGGGCACATGCCTGGGGTTGTGGGCTTGATCCCCAGTAAGGGGCATGCAGGAGGCAGCCGACTGATGTTTCTCTCTCACATCGATGTTTCTATCTCTCTCTTCCTTCCTTTCTCTCTAAAAAAAATCAATAAAACATATTTTTTAAAAAATCTATTAATAAAATATAATGGCCACTTATATACCTACTGATCCACCTAAGAAATAATCAAGGTAAATGATCAGACAGTGGAAGGACTGTAAGTGAGCCCCTCGTCCCCAGAGGGGAGCCCTACTCTGGTACCGCACTTATCACTTCCTGGCCGCACATGTAAGAGCCCTTGCACAGTAGTTAGTATTGTGTTGTACGTTTCTAACCCTTATCACAAAGCATATCATACAGTGTGTAATCTACAACTCACTCATCTTTGCTCAGCCTTGTCTGTGAGTTCATCCAGGTGGCTTGAACTCGTTTTCATGCTTGTAGAGGATTCCATCGGGTGACAGACCACAGCCGAGGTTTCTAGCCTTCTGTTGATGGACATTTCATCTGTGTCCAATTTTTGCCATTATAAACAATACTGTGATAAACTTATTTATACAGGCTTTTCCCTCCCACCTTTGCCCTTAAACTCCTGTTCATCTGTCGAAACCATCCTCTTGGCTTGGCGGCTGCAGGTCTTGGGCTGCCCAAGGGGCAGGTGGCACCCTGTGGGCCTGGGGTGTTGGGGTTCGGGAGGACAATAAGGACAAGGAGGAAGAGAGAGGGCAGCCTCAGTGCCCACCAAATGGAAGGTGAAGAAGAAAAAATAGAAGAAGACCGAGAGGGACGCTGATAAACATCAGAGTGGAGACCTGAAGACTCAGCAGCTGTCTTCATTTTCTCGTGACATCTTATGTCCCAGCAAAGGTCATGGCCCGAGGCAAGAGCACAGGCAGGACAGAGAGGGAAACAGTAAATCTGCAAATGCCTAAGTAGAGGAGCACCTTTCAGCCAGATCACCAGTCTGCGTTGGGATGGAGTTGTCGCCCACCCAGAGGCAGACAAAGAAAGGGTTGGCACACAAAAACGGGACTGAAGGAAGCGGTACTGGGTGTCCCCGGTGGCCTCTGTGCGGAGGAGACCCTGAGAACGGAGCCCATCTCTCAGAACAGGGCAGCACCAATGCACACAGCCCTCATTAAAAGCCTCCCACACTGCCCAGCTGCCGTGGCTCAGTGGTTGAGCGTCGACCCAATGCACCAGGAGGTCACTGGTTTGATTCCCGGTCAGGGCACATGCCCAGGTTGTGGGCCTGATCCCCAGTGGGGGGTGTGCAGGAGGCGGCCAGTGTATGTTCTCTCTCACTGGTGTTTCTCTCTCTCTCTCTCTCTCTCTAATCAATATAAAAAAAAATTTTTAAAGCTCACCACACTAATTCCTACTTTGAAGGAAACCTTGCTGACTCCAAGCTCCTGCCTGTGATTTAGCTACTACTCTGCCAAAGAGAAAATCCACTCATGATACCGACAAGCTTATAATTTATCCTTACCATAGGTTTATGTATCGAAACAACAACAACAACAAAACAACAACAACAAAAGGAAGTCAGACCAGCAAAACTAAAACAAAAAACAGAAACCCCACCCTCTCGGGCATCAGGCGGTGGTGCCAGTCTTCACTGTGGCCTTCTCCCAGAGCAGCGGAATCCCCAGGGCCTGTGGAGTCCCGGGCTGCTCCCTGGCAGAAGACACTCCTCCTGCCGCAGGACATTTATCCAGCCCTGTGCAGAGAAGGTTGAAAGCTGCAGGGCAGAAACTGATGGTAGCCAAAGAGACAGACCCTGAGCTCTCAGATATGGCCTCAGTTTTCTCATCTGTAAGATGGGGTGATGTGAGTACTTCTCAGCACCGGGAGATTCCAGTGTGCGGCCCATTGCCTGCACAGAGTAACAGTCAATATTCTAGTGTAAGTAAATGGTGGATACTTATGAAATCAAAGGAGGGCCTGGCAGGCCATTGCCTGCACACCTCTCTCCTCCTCCTCACTGGACTGGAAGTCCCTGGGTCTCACTGTGCCTTGCAACATCAAGGAGTCAAAGGCAGGGTGCGTTAGTGCGTGACTCAGATGAAGGCTCTGTGGGCACTGTTAAATCCTATTCTCAAGAGGGTCAAATCTAGGAAAGGAGAGAAGGTATCCAGTCGCCTAAAATATACAGAGAATTAATAGTCCCGAGAGGCTACACTCACCTGACCCTGAGCTGCTTCACAACCCTGAAGCAAAGGCCAAATGGGGGCTCAGATGGCCCAGGATATCATTTCTCCATTGGCATACAACAAACCATCCCATAACCATGTAGCTATAACCACCGGGGCTCGGGGGACGCCTGTTCCACACGGCCTCTGCTGGAGCAGACCCACTGGCGCATCTCAGATGATCCCTGAGCAGGGGGCCGGGCCGGCCGGCCTTGCTGTCCACCGAGGCGGTTAGAGTCTGCATGGTGAGTGAGGCAGCAGCTTCCCAGCCTCCGAGGGGCCATCCTGGAACAGAGACATCACTTCCGCAGCACTCACGGGTCAAAGCAAGTCACGGGGCCATCCAAATGGGAGTGGGGAGGAGAAATACATGCCACCTCTCGATGGGGAACTAGCATACAGTCAATTTACCCCACCCAACATCACCCATCCTCACAGAGCCAGCCGGTAAGCCCACATCTGAGCTACTGCAACCCGTTTCCCATGTTCAGTGCCCTTCTTCCAGGCTTCTGCTGGTGCTGGGGACTCAGCGGGAGACCCTCCCCTCCCCCCACTCCACAGATCGGCCTAACTCCCACCTACCCATCCATCAGGAGACATCACTTTACTGGGGAGAGTGTCCGGAGCTCCAAAGCCCTCTTTCGTACACCCAGAGCAGCCTCTCCTTCCCTGACCACGCTGCACTGCAGCTGCTGCAACCCCCTGGCCTGAGACTCCAGGCAGACTGCAAGCTTGCGCCCCAGGGCCCACTGCCACGCCTGGCACAGGGGGAAAGAGTCCAGGAAAGGGCATGCTCCTTCCACACCACCCCCAGAGTACCTCCCATTTAGATACTGTGCTTGTCATGGACCCTGAAACAAATGTTCGTGTGTAAGGTGTTTATTAGCAAGTCCCCCAGAGATTAACACCTGTGCAAGGGATGAGAAGAAGCCGGACCCGACTGAGAGTCCCCGTCTTCCCGATAGCTTCAGCTGGTCCATGAGGAGTCCTGGGGCGAAAGCCGCCTGTCAGGAGAGAGGCCAGACTTGTATACTCTGGTCTCAAAACTGGCTCTCAGAAGCAGAGGCTGTCCCTGCAGCGGCTGGTGCCTGAGGGCTGGCTGCTTGCAGTGTTCCCTGTGGCTAGTGCGACAGTCCTTCCTTGAAGGGGAACCCGAGGGGCACATTTTTTCCTCATGGGGCAGAAAGGCAGTGGGGAGGTGGTGGTCCCCAAGAGCTGCTCAGGTAAATGGTTTGTCAGCTGTGGCTAGAGGGAGGGGAGCTGAGGGGACAGAGGGGGAGCTGGGAATCCTGGGCCCAGGTCTCTACCGGACTTCATTTCGTTTGATTAACACTCAGGGACAGAACTCGGGTGTGGGTTATGGTTGTTTGACCCCCACTCTCTCCTAACTGACTCCCCACTAGGACCCACTGTACACATTCCTTCCAGATTGATCTTTCCCAAAAGCAAATCAGATATGCAACTCCTTTGTTTAAAACACATAGAATATAATGCCAGCTCCTTGCAGGGTCTGCTAGGCCCTCTGCGATCCGACCTGCCTACCTCTCTCTTCTCATCCCCAGCTCTCCTTTGGTCACCCGCCCCCGCCACGCCTGGGCAGGTCTGCCTCCGGGCTTTGGCGATTTACTGTTGCCTCTGCCTGGAACCACTTTCCCTCCAGATGGTCACAGAGATGTTTCCGCTGCTCAATGTCACCTCCTCCAGGTGACTCTGATACTCCCTTGACGCGTTCCTTGTTCCATATTTACTCAACAAATACTCATGGAGCACTTACAAAGTCCCAAGCACTTTTCCAGGCAGTGGGGGTAACAGGGTGAATTAGAGTCCAGGCCTTGCCGACAATCAACACACACGCAAACATAAGAACGCGACGACTTCAGAGCGTGACGTGCTATGAATAAACTGGAGCAAGGGACTGAGCAGAAGTTGCCTGGATCTTGGTCCCTGACATCCAGGCTCAGAGCCGCCTCTCCACCTCAGTGCCTCTCTGGGGACCAGCCCTGCGCTTAGAGCCGCGGGCGAGCGCGGAGTGGGTGTGCGAGGGTCACCTGAGCCCCACCCTCGGGATCCGCGGCAGCGCCGCCCCCTCCGGTCCCTCGGGCGCACCGGAGGCGCCTTTGCTCCGGGGAAGGGCGCGCGGGTGCGGTCCTGCCAGGTGCGGAGGCAGGGCCTGGGGGCAGGGTTCGGCCAGCCCCGCCCCCTGGGCCGTCCATAAAGTCGCCGGGCCGGCCGGCACCGCGTCCCGGAGAGGGCTCTTCCAGGTGACCGTGCGCGGTAGGCGCGGCCTGCGTCGGAGCTGCACGCCGGCCGTGCGGGCGGGAGCTCCAGCCATGCTGTTCTGGCACACGCAGCCCGAGCACTACAACCAGCACAGCTCCAGCAGCTACCTGCGGTAAGGGCTCGGGCCGGGGTCGCGGGCGAGGCGCTGTCGCACGTCCGGTGCAGGTAGGGGAGCTTGGGGCCCTCGCTGCGCCCCGATTCCGCGCTCCCTGCCCTCTGCGGACTGAGACAGCAGCCCAGAGTCCCGCCCGGGACGGCCAGACGGACGCCGGTGGGACCGGACGCGCGGTGGTGAGGGCCCGGCGTGCAGAGCCTGGTACCCGGGGCGCCTCTGCTGACGACCCCCGGCGGGCGTGGGGCGCACACCTGCTGGCCGCAGCCAGCGCAAGTGCGCCCTGGTCCTCCGTCTCCTTCCCGCTGGTGTTGGGGTGTTGCCTGCCCCCGGGGAGTCTAGTCCCCTGCTCCTTGCCTCTCCGCCCGGCCCCTCTCCGAGCTTCGTGCCCTCACCGGTGTCCTTGGCCCGGCCGAGGGCGCGAGCGCTGACCTGCACCTCAGCCTCGGCCCCGGTGGGGGCGGCCCGGGCGGGACTCGTGCCCCCTCGCTCCAGGTGGTCTTGCGCGCGTTGGCCCGAGGCCCGCGTGTTTCTTGCCCTTGATGGAAACCTTGCTGCGGCTTCAGGGATCTGAGTAGCGCTCTTCAAAGGGGAAAGTAAGTCCTGCCTGTTTGCAAAGTTCCGTGCTCTCCCCGGAAGGACCCCGTTAGCGTCCATCCCTGGAGGATTGTTGGCCACTGTTCTGCTGCCGGCTGGGTATTAATGAGCAATCATTTCACTTTTCTGAACTCACCTGAACCAGCTTTAGCCAGTTTTTATTTCCATCCTAGACACAGTTTACAAAATGTGCCCAATTTAACCCAAATGGCATTTGGTACCGGCTCAGAGAAAGTGAATCGTGAGGCCGAGAGTCGCTGGCACTGGCAGCCCCGAAGTGAGAGCCACGGGAAGGCCTTTTTTCCCGTCCAAAAGTTTCCACCCAGATTTAATGGTACACGTTATTTTTTTTTTTGTTTTTTTATCCTCACCCGAGGACATTTTTCTATTTTTTGTTCAGATAGAGCGGAAGGGGGAGAGAGGAACAGAGAGAGAGAGAGAAACATCGATGTGAAAGGAACACATCGAGTGGCTGCCACCCGCACAACCGACCAGGGCCGGGGACAAACTGCAACCGAGGTACGCGCCCTTAGCGGGAACCGAACCCGGGTCTCTCAGGACCTCAGGCCGACACTCTAACCGCTGAACCAAACTGGCCAGGGCGGTACACGTTATTTTTAAATCCTGGTTTCTGATAGATAATTTGACAATAGTTCTCCTTGAAGACACCCTTCCCTTTCCAGCAGGTGAAGGAATGATTGAGTTGATGTGTCCGCTGTTTTTTCTTCATGGCCAGAGTAATAAGAGATGGCATAAGTCTAGGGGTCTTAGTTGAGGACTGATGGCCTGCCTCCCTGCAGACCTTGGTGATGTCACCAGAGGGGAGCTGCCCTGGGGGACGCCGGAAGCCCACCGGGCAGATGTTAATCCGTGGCAGAAGATTAAATGTCCATTCATGTATACAAAATGTTACAACATTTTTATTATACTGCATGATGCAGTTTCAGGTGTAGCTTTGTCTAAGTTTTAGTTTGTGGCCGGTTAGTGTGCCATACCTTAAAAATGATTTTGAAGGTGACCTTGAATGGAGGGTGAGTATTTAAAACTTCCTGGATACCTAAAATGTCATCCTATTCGGGAACAATTTTCCTTGCCTGGGAGGTGCTTCTGCTGCTGAGCTGGAAATTTGTCTGTGGAGTACCTGAGATACCTTTCAGGATTTTGGTATTGCACTTGGGTATTGAGTTGGGGTAAAGGTGCCATAAAGCCATATTGGTTTCTGGGGTCATTTTGTGTCCATGGAGAAAAAAAGCACTTGGTTCATGCCTTTTTTTTTTTTTTTTTTTTTTTTTTAACTTCTTGGAAGCTGAGGGTTTCACCTTGTAGAAGTTGATCTCAATGAAGGCCGAGGTGGGGGGTCAGTGAATATGTCCCTTGTCCCCCAACTCTCGAGTGAAGGTCTCGTCTTTTTTATTTTGTTTTTTGGTTGTCTCCTCACTGTAGAACTGTTGCCAAGTTGCTCGACCTTACCACGGTGCTGGCCTTTACTCCCTTCTTTGCTTTTTCTATTTGGTGTTCTCGTGACTTCTATTCCTTGGCAAATAAGGATGCCAGGCTTGAAACAAGTTACTGTTGAGTGATGGTTCTTATCCACCCCCCACCCCCTTTTTTTATTTAAAGGCAGCAGCTCATGGATTACTACCTTAATATGGTTTGGGCAAACATGAAATCATGCGATTCCCAGGTGAGCAGGCCTGCCTGCTTCTCCTCTGTTCCTAGGTCAGCACTTGGGCTGGGACCGTGCTCAGCCCGGTGGAAGAAAGGTCGGTGTGGGGGGAGCCAAGCCAGCAGTGTGCTGTGGTCTTTGGGCCACGGACCGTGGCAGGGGAGGTGCACCCACGGGAGGTATTCCAGGTGTGCTCCAGCCTGACTTTTTCTTCTGAGAATTGTTAGACGTTGTTGGGGTGTGTGCTGGGTTTGTGTTTTAAAGACATGCGTTTATGGTGTTGTATGAGGAACAGATTGTACCAGTGACTGCTGTTTATACAGTGAAGTGGGCTCAGCGAATCTGATTCATGACCCTGGACACACAGAGGGAGGAGGGTTATCAAGATAAGGGCACTGGCACTTTTTGGCAGCTGTTTTCCTGCTGCTCATAATGTAGAGGCCGTAACCGGGTCCCTCCTGCCCACAGGTCATTCATGTTCTCAAGGATTTCTTTTTTTAACTTGCAAGGGCATTTCAAAACGCCTCGAAACAGTTCTCCAGGCATAGGCTGGCGGGAGGCTGGGTTTTTGGTTATGGTGGGGAGTTTGGTTCAACAGTGGAGGAAAAGAATCTTTGAGCATCTTAACCATTTTCCATTTGGATAAGAAAACAATGGAAACCAAGGTCCTTTCTTCTTGGTTTGTTTTTAGGAGATATTAGTATGACCCTTAACCTAGGGGTCATGGGTCAGCTGTCCTTTTTATTTTTAGAAGGGTGGGGGTGTCTCAGCTTGTGTGAGTGAAGCAAACAGTTTCTGTATTTACATAGCTTACAGAGCCCCAAGGACAGGGTTGTATTATTCTGAGAAGTGGCCAATAAATAGAATAGTTTATTTAAGCAATTAAAATATTTGTTCAGAGTCTTATTCTAAAAGCAAGACTTTGTAATGTCTTTCTTGTGGGTGGAAAGCATACAATGTCTGCGGTCCACGCCGTTGCCGGAGTCCCGTTGTCACAGAGAGCTCCGTGATTTGTGGCTCTTAGGTGACTTTGCATTTTTACCTCATTAATGGCTTGATTGACTAGATCTCTTGGGGGGTCGCTGAGAGGAAGCAGAAGCGTCACAGGCTGGTTTGCTCTCTCTGGAGGAGTTGTGCTGTGAGGAGGCGGGGGCTGGGCCAGCACACTGACCTGGGCCTTGCCGAGCAGCCCTTGGGGACCTGGTCTGCACCCGCCTCCCGCGTGGCTCTGTCTTTGCAGACAGGGCTCCTGGGCACCGCTCCTGACCGCTGCCTCTGCGTTTGCAGGGATGTGCTCGCTCTGCCCGTCTTCAAGCAGGAGGACCCCCAGCTGTCCCCGGAGAATGAGGCCCGCCTGCCACCCCTGCAGTACGTGCTGTGCGCTGCCACGTCCCCGGCCGTGAAGCTGCACGAAGAGACACTGACCTACCTCAACCAAGGTAGTGGCCAGAGCCCGAAGCCAGGGCAGGGCCCAGGGGCTGGGAGACCGCGCAGAGGAAGGGCAGTGGACCCAAACCACCTATCTGAGCTGCTTGACCTTGTCACAGCGGGAGAGGTGGGGGTCAGGAAGGAGGCTGTGGTGTCAGATGGCTTCCATTTCCTAGCTGTGGGACTTCGCTGAGCCCCTCAGTGTTTTCATCTGAAAAATGGACACATCAACTCTGTTGCGACTCAGGCCAAATATGGGTACCGTTCCTTGCACAGGCCCTCTACACGCAGAGGCTGTGACTGCAGCCGTTGTCGTGATCACTGTCCGCTGTGCCCACGCTGCTGTCCTTTCCCGGCACCCTGAGGCAGGGCTGGTGCGCCCAGTCTGCAGCGGCGGGAAAGCTGGCGTGGGGGCTGTTGCACACTGCGGACAGGAGTCCCCTGTGCCGGGGACAAGGGCTCGCTGCGCCCTCAGAGGAATGGCCTGGGCTCTGGGGCTTCACGCCGCCTTTTCTTTTTCTCTGAACCTCAGTATTTTCGTGTGTGAAATGGGAAGTTTAATTTTGTGATGTTTAAAAGAATGAAGGTATGTGAAGTGCCTGATACAGTAGTGGCTTCTAATTTCTGACTCTTTATCAGGAGAGTGGGTCAGTGCCCTGACAGGTGGCATTTTTGTGGTTTCTATGTGACTATGTGAATGGGTTTATTGCCCATCCTTCCTGAGTTGCCTAAGTGTGTTAACTGCCCCCCAGGTTACGTGGGCGGAGCAGAGGGGCAGGGCACAGCAGCTTCTGTGGGGTTGGGGTCGCAGGGGAGCTGCAGGGTGCCAGCAGGCTGCTCCTTTCTGTGGAGCTCAATTTGGGAAGCCAGCGGTGGGCAGAAGTCCGACCTGACCATCAAGTTCTCCCCGACTGCGGCACTCACCAGCTGTGGGCCCGGGAGCCAGCTCAGAACCAGCAGGTGCCCCTGAATGGAACAGCCTTCCCGGCTGCTGACACGGCCCAGTGGAAGGGCAGGCTCACCCCTGTGGATGGCTCTGGGCCTCAGTGAGTCACAGGCGAGCTCCGTCAGCACCTGGGCACCTGGCTCAGGCCCAGAGGTCTGTGCTCCAGCTGCCGAGGTGGCCATTGCTGGCGGTGACGTGGCCTGAGGAAGATGCCCTGTGTGTGTGCCGGTTTGTGGAATGGCCTGTGTGTGTGCTGGTTTGTGGAATGGCCTGTGTGTGTGTGCCGGTTTGTGGAATGGCCTGTGTGTGTGCCAGTTTGTGGAATGGCCTGTGTGTGTGTGCCGGTTTGTGGAATGGCCTGTGTGTGTGCCGGTGTGTGGAATGGCCTGTGTGTCTGTGCTGGTTTGTGGAATGGCCTGTGTGTGTGCCGGTGTGTGGAATGGCCTGTGTGTCTGTGCCGGTTTGTGGAATGGCCTGCGTGTGTGCCGGTTGTGGAATGGCCTGTGTGTCTGTGCTGGTTTGTGGAATGGCCTGCGTGTGTGCTGGTTTGTGGAATGGCCTGCGTGTGTGCCGGTGTGTGGAATGGCCTGTGTGTGTGCCGGTTGTGGAATGGCCTGTGTGTCTGTGCTGGTTTGTGGAATGTCCTGTGTCTGTGCTGGTTTGTGGAATGGCCTGTGTGTGTGCCGGTTGTGGAATGGCCTGTGTGTCTGTGCTGGTTTGTGGAATGTCCTGTGTCTGTGCTGGTTTGTGGAATGGCCTGCGTGTGTGCCGGTGTGTGGAATGGCCTGCGTGTGTGCCGGTTGTGGAATGGCCTGTGTGTCTGTGCTGGTTTGTGGAATGGCCTGCGTGTGTGCTGGTTTGTGGAATGGCCTGCGTGTGTGCCGGTTGTGGAATGGCCTGTGTGTCTGTGCCGGTTTGTGGAATGGCCTGTGTCTGTGCTGGTTTGTGGAATGGCTTTGGCCATTTCCCTTTCTCTTTATAGGAGGTCACAGCTTGTTGTGCACCTTCAGCAGTTGCTTCTCTCTCTCCCTAAATGTGAAGAAATGGGATGTTGTTTGCAGAGCATTGCACTCCGAGGCGGTTCTTTTTTATTTTAATCCTCACCCGAGGATACTTTTCCATTTATGTCAGATAGAGTGGAAGGGAGGGAGAGAGAGAGAGAGAAGCATCGATGTGAGAGGGACATGCACGACCCCAACCAGTTGGAGACAAAGTGCAACTGAGGTACGTGCCCTTGACTGGAATCGAACCCTCTAATCTTTGGTCCGAGGGCCAATGCTCTAAAATGGCCAGAGCCCGAGGCGGTTCTTGTTCTTGGCTCCTTTCTGAGGTGCTGAGGAGTGAGTGGTCTGAGGCCCTGCCGGGTGCACCCGCCTCCCCAGCATCTGTGAGGCCTTTGCCTGACCCCCCACCTGCCTTAGTCAACTTTGAACAGTGTCCAGCAGTCAACATACCGGGTCTTTTGAAGAGTTCATCTTTTGCTCAATGTGGATAAGTAAGAAGAGAGGGAAGAAGAGTTGCCTCATGGTCTTACCGTCTTGTGATAACTTGGTGTGTTTATGTTAGATATTTCTAGGCGACATCTCCCTGGTTATTAAAATAATACATATTCATTAAAATTTTGGAGATGATTTAGAAAAGTATAAGGAGGAAAATAAAAAGAAAAATAAAATGGAAATTGCTAATCATACCTGAGAACCACTGCTAACCTTGTTCTACATATTTGTATATACATTTTTACAGTTACGATCCTGTTACAGACATGCATCCCCCACTTTCTTAATTTATTGTATTTGTGAACTTTTCTTTTTCTTTTTAATTTTTACCCAAGGATATGTTTTTATTGATTTGAGAGAGAGAGAAAGAAAGAGAGAGATCGATGTGAGAGAGAAACATTAATCCCCAACCCGGGATCAAACCTGCAACCTGGGTATGTGCCCTGACCGGGAATCGAACCCACAACCTTGGGATGGTGCTCCAACCAACTGGCCACCCAGCCAGGGCTGTTTGTGAAATTCTCTCATGTCATTAAAATGCTTTGAGGACTTCAGTTTTTGTACTGGCTGTATAGTATTGCATTTTACAGTTGCTGCCTGTCCAGATTCATGATATGGACACTTACTTTTCAGTTGTTGCCTTTGTGTGAAATGCTGGTTGTTTGTTTTTAGAGACATACCTTAGAAGTAGAATTAAAATGATTGGATCAAAGGGTTTGAATAAGGCTTTTGATACTTTTACCAAGTTGCCTTCTCTGCAGCGAGTACCACTAGTGGATCATGTCATTTTCCATCTGATTAGTGAAACATAGAATTTAATTTTAAAGTAGCTTTTCTATCATTGCTAATATGGTTGAATATTTTTAAATATGTTTACTGATCTTTTTAATTTCTCCATCAGTTTTGCTCATGTCCTTTGCACATTTTGCTGCAGGATGTTTATATCTTGGTGACTGTAAGACACACATACGTGTGCATTGCAGACGCTTCCCCTGCTGCTTGCCGGCCACTGAACTGTTTTTTTTGTGTGATCACTATATTCATGGTGTGGGATATATGTCATGACTTTTTTTCCTGTGTTGAAATTTATTTTAAATGTCTGTTGTCAACTTTTTGTCTTTTTTTTTGGTACGTGCCTCTAGCGGGAACCGAACCTGGGACTCTCTGGTCCGCAGGTCGATGCTCTAACCGCTGAGCCAAACCAACCAGCCAGGGCTCAACTTTTTGTCTTTCATATGGTTTTTATTTTATGCTTAGAATGCCTGCGCACCCCAAATCAGTTTAGTAGTTTTCCAAATTTTATTTCATAGTTTTTAAATTTTAACATCGGAATTTTGGGGGAAACTTAATTTGACACTTGATATTCTGAATTATTACTACATAAACTGTATGTGTTTTCTCCAGCATTACCAGTGAGGTTTATGTTATGCTACCCTTGGAGTTTATGATGTGATGTAAAGTTCTAAGTTTGTTTAATTTTCTACATAGATAACCTACTAGTTATTATTTGCGTCCCCCTTTCTTACTGGTTCGAAACGCCGCTCGTCCCCGCCGTCGGTGCCAGCTGTGCCGGGACGCGTGCAAGGACCCAGCTCCCGGCTTGGAGTTTAGTGCTTTTTGTACTGGAGTCGGATTGGCAATAAAATGCACTTGGACTGTGAAAAAATTAAATTAAATAAAAAAATGCCGCTTCTAAAACATTTGAAAAACCATATTCTAAAGTATTAGTTTATATTTGTATAGGTATCTGCCCTGTACCCCTGAGATTAACTGCTTCTCACCCCATTTCTAATTGAACTATTGATTATAGCTTGAAATAAATATTTCCCTATTTGGGAGTAGATGTTCCTTTCAAAAACTGTCTTAGCCATTCCCAATTATTCTTTCTTTTTTAAAATCCTCACCCAGAGATATTTTCCCGTTGATTTTTAGATAGAGTGGAAGGGAGGGAGGGAGGGAGGGACAGACCGACATGAATGTGAGAGAGAGACATCCATTGGTTGCCTCCCACTCAGCCAGGGCCGGGGATTGAACCTGCATCTGAAGGTTGAGGTACATGCCCTTTATGGGAATCGAACCTGAGACTTCGTTCAGAGGGCCAGTGTTCTAACTGCTGAGCCAAACTGGCCAGGGCTTCAGTTATTCTTATAAATGGATTGTGCAACCATTTACTTTTCCTTCTATACCTTTTAGAAACATTTATGGGATCATATACTTTATAAAATTGTTTCTTGCTTTTATTAAATTCTATTCTTGTACTAACATTTTGTGCCATTATTAAAGCCTTTGAGACATCGCTTACTATGTCTGCATACTATTTTATTCTCTCCTTGTGCTGTTTGTAACAGAATATTGTCATGACTACTGGAAGAAAACACCCAGCGTGGTTATTTTAGTGCTGTCTCCTGTAATAGAATGAAACTCTGTGAGGGCAGAGCCTGTAGATATATTTGTATGTATATGTTTTTTAACATTATGTCCCCAGCATTAAGCTTGGTGCCTTGATAGTAGGTGCTCTATGAATATTCAGGAAAATTAAAAATTAGGTGTAATTTATTTTATTCCTCTC